TCAGATAATGACTAGTCACCACATAACGTCAGTTAAGTTTGAAAACATGATGTACAAAATACAAAACCGGCCTCATTTATTCGGCTTTTCCAACAAACAAGTCTTCGCGGTAATGTCGTTCGCGGTATTGTCGTTCGCGGTAATGTCGCTGTATCAAAAAGAACGTCGACGCCTACTCCTTCGAAGAATTCAAGTTTCGACTCATCACTGAAATCACCAGCTGAGGGTAGTGACGTCACTGCGAAGATTCATGACGACAAATTCAAATGGGTTCTCACCAAACTTAGTGAACAGAAGTCGCAATACGAAGAACGAATGATGTTGGTATTAGATGATTCACGGAAATATGCATACTACGTCGGATAAATCTCGGTTTTGAATGAACAACAGCAGAATCTGCTCCGATCGATGACTCTCGATAAGGATAATGGCCATTTGAATTCCATCACAGCAAGACTCGATGCAATTGAGAAGATTTTGACAACGTGCGTTTTCTTCTATGCTGCCTTCCTTCTATGTATTCAGCTTAAACTTGTATTTCAGGAAACTCTCGGCTATTATTGATCACGAAAAGGAATATTTCGATCCATGGAAATTGTCGTCTCAAACTCGTACTCAACAGGACGTTTTTAAATCCAAGTTAGTTGTATTTTATCATCGTCAGTCGACCACTTTAGCTCGAGGTATCAAATGCATGGTATTAGATTATGATTTGTCATCGGACTATATCACCGCTGCACATATTTGGCCATCATCTACCAATGGTAGGGGTCTATCCCGCTTCCGTCTCGAAGCCAAGTGCCTAAATGACTCTCGCAACGGTCTATTATTACACAAATCGATAGAACAAGGATTCGATCGGAAACAAATATGTTTTTTGTACGATTTGAATGCAGATCAACTTAAGACAAGATTATTATGCCCTTCGATTCGTTTCGAACAAATCGACAATGGTATCACGTTCGGCGATATCGATGGTCGACCATTGCAACTGCCGAAAGGTGTGTGGCCGTATCGACGACTACTAAACTGGCACGTTATACGTTCGTTTGAATATGCTCGTGAAGAGTCCTGGATAGATTCGAGTGAATGCGTGGAAGACTACTTTCACATGTCAGATCCGCGAATCGAAATGCCTGGTTAATCTCCTTCATTGTAATTTTTTTGTGAAAAACTTAATAAATACCCAAGCATTAGCGAACAATGGATCCTTTGAATCATGAGAAGGGAATCATTCGATTTTGAAATCAAGCCAATGTGATTGACAGTGGTCACTTGTTCTCATCGAATTCTGAAATCTGGCGCAGGGAGATAGCCAAAACTGATGGAAAAGAACTCATCTAACTATCTCATGAAAGACAGCAAAAAGAAATATCAAAAGGTTAAAGTTGCCCCGTTTTGTTTGGTTCATCGACTAACTTTCTCTAATTTATTAGGTAGTGTACCGGTACTGGTCGGCAACGAAAAATTGACTGAGGTATGCAACGTGACATATGTAGAAATATCCAAAATGTCCACTGAGCCGGAAAGATCGATCAGAAATCTGATGAGGAAAGACTAATCTCGTGACGGTACTTTCTCAACAGTTCTGGCAGAAAAACTGCATTCTACCAACTTTTCTATCTGTGCTCGTAGTTAGCACAATTGTCCACACAAATGACACTTTATAAACGAGGGTCACAAATAACCATATTTGAACTTCTGGTAAATGGAATTTGTAAAAACATATCAAAATTTGGCGCCTTTTTTCCAAGGGGGTTGCCAGAGAAACTTTTGCGGAATCTTGTAGCCCATGCTCGATTTAGTGGCACGCCATATTTATCTCAAATAGGTCCTTCCGATTTCTGTGAAAAAAACATTTGGGAAAAAAATCAAAAAGGTCCGTGCAGGATTCGAACCGACGACGTAAATATTCATCACTTTCTTTGCACTAAACCACTGTGCTGCGGATCTATACTGATTCTCTCTTGTTATATCAAGTATAGATGAAGAAAAACAGAAGGGAAAAAATTGTTAATGTTTTTCGACCGTAACTTTTTTTCTAAAAGATTGCCGAAGAGGATTCAGAGGGCTTTTATACAGCACTGTCATGACAGTATTTATCTCGAAAGGGTTATATCGTTTTCTTGAGAAAAATAAACTTCTGAATATTATTAGAATGTAACCAGAATAAACAGTTCAATAGTACAGATATCGTGTGCATCT